CAAACATATTTTGTTTCTCATGTGTCTCCTTGTAGAAACGTAATTTCATTTGGACGTGCTGTATGGGCAGCCCTGCTGTAAAAAATGTCAAGTATTGCCGCATTTATTTATTTATTTTCTGACATTGTCATTTATTTTGACACTTTAGTTTTGTATTACGAGTTTTTGGTGTAAATAAATAATGTTTGTGATACTTTAGGCTTGAAAATGTTTACCAGCAGCTCTTGCAGTAGAACATCCCACCAAGCAAAAAACCTCACATTACATTTGCAACATTGCAGTCAATCCCCAAACAGTTTGCTTTGTAATGTTGATTTCTAAACGTTGTGTCGTGATTGATGAAACCTTGCTACAAAAACATTGTTTTTGAATGGTGATTAAAACGTTTTTTCTGCAGCATTGCAACAATAAAGATTCAAATGAAAGATCCGCGCAAGTTAATGATAATTAATAATATTAAATATACCATAGGATCGACAAAAACGGCGTCCTGATTGGCTTGGGAATGATGACATTCCCCATATAAAATGACAGCGATTTTCTTTTCATAATATCGCTGACTTTTTCAGTCTGCCAGATAAAGATTGGGATTAGGTTAACGCACTTGTTTTTTACGCTTTTGGTATCACATTTTATGCTTTTCGAATGAAATTTTAAATATTTACGTTATAAGTCCTGTATATCACATTTTATTATTATGTGTGTTTTAATAATACTTAGCCATGAATAAATTAACAATTTCATTTAGTTTAGTTTGTTTTAAGCTAAATTTTATGTTTAGGTTAGCCTTTAGCGAACTGAAAATTGAAGTAGATAAAATCAGGATACGAGTATATCAATCTAATGATAAAATCACAAATAATATTCAGTATTAATTATTCTCAATAATATTTTTTTAATGTTGTTATAATCATTTGAAATTTTATAAAATAAGGACATAAAGGGGCCTCAAAGATTACTGTCACAAGAGGTAAGTTTCTCATTGCTTATATTTATTATAACTGATTATTTTTATTTTTACTACTTTAGAAATGATTGGATATAGATTTCAAAACTTTACCGAAAAGGAATTTGAAACCATGAATAAGACAATTCAACATGAGAAGACAAAATATGAAACAGACAAAAATCAATTAAATATAAGTTTGCTTTTCCTTCTACATACATTTAACGTTATACTTTCCTTTTGTATTTTGAATAAGAAATATAAAAATAATGTTTATACTGTACCTATATATTTTTTTTTTTTTTTTTTTTTTTTTTTTTTTTTTTTTTTTAGAATTTCGACTCGGAGGTCAGAGTAATTCCTTATTTAATGAGCAGCCGAAAAGATCAGTAAGTTCTCATTACTTGACAGTATTTTTTACTGTTTTGGAAACAATTAAGTGATAAATTTCTAATTTTATTTGTTTTTTTTAATTTGTGACAAATTCGAATTTTAATATTTTGATTTGAACGAGAAAGCAGTAGTAATGGCCCTTCAAGTCCCTTATGTGTTGTTAAGAAGGTGAGTTTTGTTGATGTAAATAATAACTACTGTTTAAATATTTATAATTAATTTATTTTTGTTTCTTTACAATACTTTGATTAAAAGAAAATATACAATAGTGGGCAACGCTGTGCCGGTCAAGCTTAATCACGTGACTAAAAGTTTATTTGGTATGAACTGTATACACAGATACACCGCGCATATACCAGTTGGCTCACTCTATTATACAGGGTGGGTCGTAAATAAGAGCAAATATTTTCAGAGCTGGTAGATCTCAATAAAAGAAACATATTTTCTCTTTACCGTTTTTCAAATAAGTCCAAAATAACCGAGCTATTTTATTTTGAAAATTTCCAAAAAATATATTTTTTGCTTAAATTTTGAGAACTACTGTACCCATTCTGGGTTTTCTTTCTTGCAAATTTAATCTATTATAAAATTATGTTGCCATATCATGAAGAAATTATGGTTTTTAACTAAAAACTAAAAAAAAATTTCAAAAAATTCCAAATTTTCAATTTTTTTTTGCGAAAAAAAACTCATAATCATGATTCTGGGGTCGAAATATACCACCCCTAGACTCGCCCTGTATATTACATAATATTCTTTTTCTATATATTTATTTCTTCTAATATACCGGGTGGCGTCTCAAAAGTGGCTCACCCTTATAACTTTTTTATTTTTTCAGATAAAAAAACAGATTTGGCATATTAGTACTTATATGACATAAATTATAGGATTGATTGACGTATTCAATTGTTTTTGGTCACTTCCTGTTTCACCGGAGATAATGTAAAAATAAATGGCATAAAGTTAAAAAATACCTAGGGTGCCATTTAAAAATAAAAAGTTGTAGTCATTTCCCGTGAAACAGGAAGTGACCAAAAACAATTGAATACCGCCAATCAATCCTAATTTATGTCATATACTAACATACCAAATCGCGTTTTTTAAATAAAAAAATAAAAAAGTTATAGTTGTGAGCCACTTTTGAGACGCACCCGGTACAGTATATATTCTTTAAACTGTGCTCTACTATTAGATAGGTACAATTGTTTGTTTATGATTTATGACTTCTCATAAATCATAAACAAAAAATTGATGAATGAATTAACTTCTCAGAATTAAAAATAATTTTTCACTTTTAATTCGATCTGTTATACAAATTTTACAATGTTAGTTACAATCAGGAGTCATCCTCATGTCCTCATGTAATGTAGTTATTTATTTTAAGAACTACGACTGTGTTTTCTTCTTTATATGCCAGGCGCCTATTTTAGTTTTAGCGGTTTTAGTTTTCTCTAGTGAAATACAAACGAACCCATGACCAGTGGCGGATACAGAGGGGGGGCCCATGGGGCCCGGTCCCCCCCCCCTAAAATCTATAAATTGGGTTAAATATTAAGCTTTTGGGTTAAAAATGGCGCCATAAAAAGCATATTCGACATTAGTTTTTATTTCGGCCCCCCTAAAATAGATTTCTGTATCCGCCCCTGCCCATTACTGCT